TGGGAAGAGGAGGAGGAAGAATGTACCAAACCAGGGGCGTACCTTAGGACAATATGGTGACTTGGTTTCAATCTCAGGATGACAGTCCCCCATAGAGGATGCCAACAGATGATGAGCTTTGGGTATCTCTAAAACAATCACAGTATTAATTGTTACTGTCACGTATCGGTTGACGTTCACGCGCCTTCGTGGGACAGCCAAGGACTGCCCCACGTCTCCTAGCGCTCAGCAGAGGCATGCCCTGCCTGGCTGACTCCCAACCCCAGTTCTCAAAGCCACGCCTCGGTTGCATTATAGCCACAAAGGTCAGCTTTTAGTTGCGCTAACTTGTTTTTTTCTCTGAGGACCCAGACAGGGAATGAAGTACCAATTACTTGTTACATTGACCGGGAGCGGTGTCTGGGGGTGAGGGAGTCTGAGAACCCTCCCATTTCTGTGAAAACTGACTCAGCCCCCAACATCGCCTCCTTCCAACCCGACGCTCCCGCTGTGTTAAGATCGCTTTTGGAAAATGAATCATGTAATTAACCAAATATTAGCAACAGCTTCTTTCTATTAACAAGACAGTGGGTTTCTGAATGGGGGAGCCTTTAGGCCTCAGGTTTTTGCAATATTAGGAGCTTACTGACCCCTCAACTAATCAGAGGGCAAGTGCTCAGCCAGGTGGCAGAACCAGGACGCAGAGGTGGGCTTGGGGCTCTGGAAAGCACCGCTGTCCCTTTAAAATACAAATGAGTCTGTTAAAATAGTTACAGTTACATGACTGGCAGGCCAAACCCCAGCAGCTCCCGGCCCCTCTGCAGACAAAGGTTTATACCTTTTTCACGGACTCCCTCCTTCTTCCTGAAATTCTCGGCTTTCAGCCAGAAGCTGTTCCATCCACAGGGTGAGATTATTTGTCACTTGCAGCTTGATCTTTTTTCCTTAGCTTCAGGCTTCCCAACCAGCCACAGAGCAGGGCCGGACTGAATGCCCAGTGCCCCGGGATTCTGGCTCCTTCCTCTTTGCAGGGGCAGAGGGAATGGGGGAGCAGGCCCTCACACAGGGCAGGGCAAGCCTGGCTTACAGATGTTCATGTGGTAAATACCACAGTAATTAATGAGTGACTGTTTATGGGATAAACTCTGTGTTTCAAATGTTGACAACTGTAAGCCTATCTTTGCCCACCCGGTACGTGCCGGGCCTTTCATGAACCAGAGGAGGTGCTCTCTGCCGGGTGACCTTCCTCCTCCGGGTCTGCCCTCTGTCTCGGAGCTGGGCGCATTCCCAGGAAGCGAATTTTCATCTATTCAACCACCTCGTACCTAGGGGTAGGTTTGTCCGACTTTCACGTACGAAGTTGTCAAAAATTGTATTCTTGTAAGACATATCTTTTACACAAATTTGTTTACCAAACCAGAATTAAAGCTAGCTATGTTTAACATAAACTGTTCCACAAAGTTTCTATATCAGAATTTCAACAAAACAAAGCAACTGTCCACAGTGAAGGAAGGTCAGAGTCACCTCCATCCACAGGGAAGGTCAGAGTCACCTCCATCGACAGGGAAGGTCAGAGTCACCGCCATCCACAGGGAAGGTCACAGCCAGCTCCATCCACAGTAAAGGTCGAAGGTCATATCCAGCTTCACCCAGTGAAGGTCACAGCCAGCTCTGTCCACAGTGAAGGTCACAGCCAGCTCTGTCCACAGAGAAGGTCGAAGGTCATAGCCAGCTCTGTCCACAGTGAAGGTCACAGCCAGCTCCACCCACAAGGAAGGTTGAAGGTCACAGCCAGCTCCACCCACAGGGAAGGTTGAAGGTCACAGCCAGCTCCCCCTACAGTGAAGGTTGAAGGTCACAGCCAGCTCCCCCTACAGTGAAGGTTGAAGGTCACAGGCAGCTCCCCCTACAGTGAAGGTTGAAGGTCACAGGCAGCTCCCCCTACAGTGAAGGTTGAAGGTCACAGGCAGCTCCCCCTACAGGGAAGGTTGAAGGTCACAGCCAGCTCCCCCTACAGTGAAGGTTGAAGGTCACAGCCAGCTCTGTCCACAGGGAAGGTTGAAGGTCACAGTCAGCTCCACCTACAGTGAAGGTTGAAGGTCACAGCCAGCTCCACCCACAGTGAAGGTCAAAGGTCACAGCCAGCTCTACCCACAGTGGAGGTCACAGCCAGCTACGCGTTCTCCATGGAGCGTCTGTCACATATATTCGTAGACATTGTTTGCTTCTTCACATCTTCCTGGCATGGCTTTGCCCTGAATTAGTTTCCTCTTTGGTTTGAGTCCTTTTCTAAAAGGAAATGAAGGTTTGAACATGTGGTCTCATGTCTGTTGGCATCATTCTGAAAAGCACATGACGAGAGGACATCAACTCCTTCCACAACAGAATCAACTTTCAGGAAACTCTGGGCAGTATCATGGGGTTTGGCAAACAGTAATATCAGAGGAGAGACAGGTGGGGTTGGAGGCCATTCTGGGACA